GAGCAGTGTGGTCTGGAAGGCGTGTGCGTGTGTGTCTGTCTCACTGGGGTGCCTGCCTCTCTCTGGCAGGCAGGGGAGCAGATGATGGAGCTGATATAAGGTACTTAGACTTCTGGAAGGAGTTTGACTTGCTACCGCATGATCTTTTGATTTCAAAAACCCTCGAACCATCCAAAATGAACATGGCACATGTGAATTCAAAGCTGGCTAACTTATAAACCTCAAAATATAGCCATAAACGGGAAATCCTTATCTACTGGGTGTGTTTCTAAAGGGGACCCCTAAAGGAAAACAAAATGACATAACATAAAGGTTGCCGAGGATGCACAAATTGGGGAAGTGGTTAAATAATGAAGACGACATAACTGATCCAGAGCAATTGGGGATCATACGGCAAAATGCCCCGGGTGTTGTGAAGATGCCAGAGGATGTGGTGAAGACCAGGACTTTTTAACAGGGTTCAAAAAAGAGCTAGATAGATTCATAGAGGGTAGGTCCATCAATGGCTGTTAGCCAGGATGGGTAGGAATGGTGTCCCTGGCCTCTGTTTGGCAGGGGCTGGAGATGGATGACAGGGGAGGGATCCTTTGATGATTGCCTGTTCGGTTCACTCCCTCTGGGGTATCTGGTATTGGCCACTGTCGGCAGACAGGACACTGGGCTGCATGGACCTTTGGTCTGACCCAGCCTGGCCGTTCTTATGAGACATAAATGTTTTTAACAAGTGGAACAATTGAGCAAGGGCTGTGTGGACTTTCCACCACTGGCCATTTTCAGTCCAGACCAGGTGTTCGTTCTTAAAGGTTTTTTTTAAAGTTTAAATCCTTGTTCTAACAGGATTAAATTCAGGGGTCTCTGGGCTGTGTCACCCCGGGGGGCTAACTAGAATGATCACAGTGGTTCCTTCTAGGCTTGCTTGGAACACCCGAATCGACAGGGCGAGGAGGGCTGTGGGTCTCTGTCTCACGGGGTGTCTGTTGGTCTGTCCGTGGCAGGGGGGTGAGCAGCGTGGTGCGGCGCTGCTTGCACAAGCAGACGGGCCAGGAGTTTGCGGTGAAGATCATCGAGGTGACCCCGGAGCGCATGACCCCGCAGCAGCTGGAGGAGGTGCGGACCGCCACGGGCAAGGAGATCGCCATCCTGCGCCAGGTGGCGGGGCACCCCTACATCAGTGAGTGACACCCCCTCCCGGGACACCCCCTGTCAGCAAGTGGGTATGTTTGTGCAGCAAACAGCAGGGGTGGTCTTCACGTGTGTGGATTGCAGAGCTAGAAGGGACTATTGTGAGGATCTCGGGTTCGACTCAGGCCAGAGAGCTGCCGCGGGTTACTCCTTAAGGAACAGTCAGGCTTGGTTTTAGAATGGCCAGTGATGGAAAGATTTGTTCTGTGGGCTAATGATGCTCGTCGTTAAACACATCCGCTTTGTGTCCAAGCTGAATTTAGCTTGTTTCCAGCCATTGGAGCGTGTTAGAGCTTCCTCTGCTCAAGTGAAAAGTCCATTGTTTGATATTCGTTCCCCGTGCAGGCGTTTGTAGTCTGGGATTATCACCCCAAACCTCTTTGGTGACGTGTAAGAGATCAAGCTCCTTGAGTCTATCGTGATGAGGCAGGTTTTCCCATCTTGTAATCCAGTGGCCTCTGAACTGTGGGTGCACCCCTCTCGGGGGTACAGAGGAACTTTCGGGGAGGGGATGGAAGCATCACTCAGCTCTGCTCCAACCCAGCCCTTCCTTCAGCTGTGGCCCCAGCCTTGGGCCCTTTACTCCATCCATACCTCCCCTGAGCCGCGGCCCCGCTCTTGGGGGAGGGATGCTGGTGGGGGCCACTGTTTAATCGTTCTTGTGGGTATTCTTTGATCCTGCTCCAATTTATCAGCATCCTTCGTGCCTTGTGGGCCCCAGGACACAGTATCCCGGCAGCAGTAGCACCAGAGCCCAGTGCAGAGGTAAAATAACCTCTCTGCTCCTACCCGAGAGTCCCTCATTTGTGCATCCAAAGGTTTCATTAGCCATTTGGGTCAGTGTCAGCTCCTGTTCGGCTGATTATCCACCATGGCCCCAAGCCCCAAATCTCTTGGTGTCCCTTGCTCCCAGGAGGTTCTCTGTTCCCGGTGGTGGCAAGCTGGGGTTAGCAGCTCAGGCGGAAGCCAAGAGGGCTGGCATTGATTTCACCCACTGTCCCAAGTGAGTGTGTCTTGGCAGCTCGATGAACCACAGTGAAGAATTGGTCTTTTGGTCTGTGCTGCTGTATCCAATGACATCCTCCAAACGTCCTGGGAGCCCGACCCCTGGTTCCACCCCTTGTGACGTCCCAGCAAACAGTCCCAGCCTTAAACAATAAGGGAGCGTCTAAACTACATGGCTCCGTCGATGGAGCCGTGTAGATTAGGCTGATCAGCAAAGGGAAATGAAGCCGTGATTTAAATAATCGCGGTTTCATTTAAATTTAAATGGCTGCCGCGCTGAGCAGACAAACAGCTGATCAGCTATTTGTCGGCTCAGCATGGCAGCCATTAAATTTAAATGAAGCCACGATTATTTAAATCGCGGCTTCATTTCCCTTTGCCGAACAAACAAATTTACATGGCTCCATCGACGGAGCCATGTAGTTTAGACGTACCCTAAGGGCTGGAAGAGACCTCAGGAATCCATCTAGTCCCACTCCCCTGCCCAAAGCAGGACCAACCCCAACTCAATCATGCCAGCCAGGGCTTTGTCAACTGGGCCTTAAAAACCTCTAGGGACGGAGATTCCACCTCTCCCTAGGGAACCCAGCCCAGCACTTCACCACCCTCCTAGGGAAATCATTTTTCCTAATATCCAACCTGGACCTCCCCCACTGTAACTTGAGACCATAGCTCCTTGTTCTGCCATTTGTCACTACTGAGAACGGCCTTTTTCCATTCTCTTTGGAACCTCAGGAAAACATTCGAAATTGCAAATGAAGCCGGGATTTAAATATCCCGTGCTTCATTTGCATATTCACGTTATGGCGCTATTTCAAAATAACAGACGCTGTTAAGACACGGTTATTTCGAGAGAAAACCGTTCTCTCGAAATAACCCTTATTCCTCATACAACCAGGTTTACCAGTTATTTCAAGAGAAGGGTTTTCTCTCAAAATAACTGCATCTTAACAGTGTCTGTTATTTCGAAATAGCGCCACAACGCGAATATACAGCGCTTGACAAACTATAGAATCTACTCACCCATGGCGAGTAGATTTCAGCCGCGCGTCCCATTTACCGGTGGCGCGCGCATGCGCAATGCGGCTCTTGCATATGTGCAGTGCGGGGCTGGCGAGCGGCTTTTGCCGCCGTTTGTCGAGCCCTGCAAATATGCATCATTTGCATCCCTCTCTCAAAAGAGGGTGCAAGTGTAGACATACCCCTACAGACTAAATAAACCCAAATCCCTCAGCCTCTCCTCATGGATCATGTGCTCCAGCCCCCTAATCATTTTGGTTGTCCTCCGCTGGACCCTCTCCAATGTGTCCACATCCTTTCTGAAGTGGGGGGCCCAGAATTGGACACAATACTCCAGATGTGGTCTCACCAGAGCTGAATAAAGGGGAATAATCACATTTCTGGATCTGCTGGCAATGCTCTTCCTAATGCAGCCTAATATGTCATTAGCCTTCTTGGCTACAAGGGCCCACTGTTGACTCCTATCCAGCTTCTCGTCCACTGTAACCCCCAGGTCCTTTTCTGCAGAACTGCTACTTAGCCAGTCGGCCCCCAGCCTGTAACAATGTTTGGGATTCTTCCATCCCAAGGGCAGGACTCTGCACTTGTCCTTTGATCCCCTCAGAAATGCCTCTTGTATCCCAGGCGAGGGGTGAAGAAGGAAGTGTCTGGAGTCCTGCAGGTCTCCTGCAATAATTCCTCACGTCGCTCTGCATTCCTGGCCAGTAGAAATGTTCCTTTAACCTGCCACAGGTTCCGTGCGCTCCCAAGGGATCAGCAAAAGGAGGATGGTGCTAACAGCTGTAGTTCCCCACAGGGCTACATGGGTGGGCAACGTGCATGTTGCTTTTCTCTGTCTTGCAGGCCCCAGCCTCAGTCCCTCCCACGCCTGGGGACTTTCTGGTGCTCTGGAATATTGTGACTCTCACAGGGCCCTTCCGCAGTGGTCCAGGCTGAGTCTCTGATGCAGGCTGAGTCTGTGCACCCAGGACTTGTCTGAGCTAAGGGAGGAGGGAGCCATCGGTGACTCTGGGATCTGCCCAGGGTTTTCCAGCACGTCCACTTATGCGTCGTCGGCTCCTTTTCTCGGATCACTTTCTCTCTCAGCTCCACAGCTCGGTTGGGGCAGCTGCTTCTCTTCTCTTTCCTTCTCACCTCCTCTGGCTTAAGAATAGGTAGCTTCCTGCTCCTTCCGCCACTTCTCTGCTTGCTGCTTCTGGAGCTCTGCAGTTTCTTCTCCCCCCTGGCTTTGTGGTTGTTTTGCTGCTGCTTGTTTGGTGGTTTACTGCTTCAGTTCCCCTGTTCTACCTCTAGGCAGATAGAAACAGACCAACGACAACCTCTCCCTGGTAGTGCCCAGCGACTGTACAGGAGGCTCACTTAGATTTGATATTGCCAGTGCATGGAAGTCTAGCGGGCTGGTGTCGCTGTTTTCCTGCTACCCCAGGTCACTGTGTCTCCACGGGTAGTTTGACCCCAGTACAGAGCACAGCTTGTTTGCAGTGCGCCTGTATTCACTGACCACCACCCCCTCAAATCTCTTGGGCACCCTAATGGCAGGAAGTCCCAGTCGTGATGCCCCCCCTGCCCTATGGCAGGGAGTGCCCTGCTGTGCCCCCAGCTCTCACCCCTCTCTCTCCCCACAGTCACCCTCATCGATTCCTACGAGTCGTCCACGTTCATGTTCCTGGTGTTTGATCTGTGAGTATGAGATCCCGCCCGCCCTGCATTCGTGTGGCGCTGTCCCAGAAGGGCCTACACATTTCCCGCTCCCACCAGGAGCCCTCTCCCCGTCCTTACAAGGCCCTGCCACACCGCAGGGGGCCCCCGCCCTGCCACGTGTGACCCCATCCCATGCAGGGCCGCCCCACGTTCCAGCGTTCTCTCACCAGGAACGGAGCCAGCCAGCCTCCTGCAGACTCCGGGGCTGCTGGGCACTGTGAGTGCCTGTCCCAATGGCTCAGGAGAGGTGGTGCCCACAGGTCCTGTCCTGCCTGCCTGGGCTCCCCCCAACTCCCTCCATCCAGCTTCCCAGGTTGATTTCCAGCCACCCCACCAGGGCCGATCTCCCCCCGCCCTCTCAGGCTGGCTGGTAACTCCCTTCTCTCCCCAGCATGCGGCGTGGGGAGCTCTTTGACTACCTGACTGAGAAAGTGACGCTGAGCGAGAAGGAGACCAGGTACAGTACAGCACCCCCTGCTGGGAGAAGCTGGGGCTGCAGCAGCTGGGCTCTCCCTCAGTGGCTGCAGGAGTGAGCTGGCTCCCCTTCCCCCCCAGGTGCATCATGGGACCCCCAGCCACATCATCCACCGGGACCTGAAGCCCGAGAACATCCTCATGGACGATCAGCTCAACATCAAGCTCTCCGACTTCGGCTTCTCCTGCCGGCTGGAGCCAGGGGGCAGAGCAGGCCGGGGGAGGGGCAGGAGGCTGGGCCCAGGGGCCAGCAGTGCTGGGGAGAGGGCAGGCCCAGCTGAGCTGTGGTTGGGGGAAGGGGCGGTTGGCTGATCACTCCAGGAGGTGCGGGGAGGGAGAGGCCAAGGGCCTGACGAGTGGGGGGAGAGGTTGGAGGGGCTGGCTGGACCTGCAGCTGATTCAGGGTTGGGGGAAAGGAGGAGGCTGGGCTGGTGGGACAAGAGAGGGGGGCTGCTGGGGACTGCTCCAGTGGGGGATGGGGGGGGCTCCAGTGGGGAATGGGGGGTGATTCAGGAGGGTATTGGGGGCACTGTTGGTGCCTGACATGCGGCTCTCTTCCCACCCCAGAGCTGTGTGGGACCCCCGGGTACCTGGCCCCAGAGATCCTCAAGTGCTCCATGGATGAAACACACCCGGGCTATGGCCAGGAGGTGGACCTGTGAGTCCCTGTTCCAGCAGCCACTGCGGGGCCTGGGGGAGGGGCTTGGCTGTGATTTGGGGGGGAGGGGGCGGGC